TCGGTACACGAAAAATGAAATGAGGTGTGAGAGATTCTTAACTCCCAGCCTTCCGATCTGGAGTCGGACGCGCTGCCGTTGCGCCAACACCCCTTGCCTCCCACCTGGCTACAGTGGTACATATCCAAATTTGTATTTATTGCACGCCGCCCCACGCGACTGTTGATCTGGCTGCCAGGCGACACTACATACAAACACAAGGGAAATATTATGTGCACGGAGAAATGGCGCGCCAGCCCCAGAATTGCGCAAAAACGGCTAAGATAATGGACCAGACCAGGTCTGCCACATGTATGCCCCTGCCTGTTCTGTTGCCAGCTGCAGGCTTCACAATTTGGGGGCAGACTGAATTTGCAATAATTGGTTCCATCTTCACAGCATGGGCTGCCAATTCACCCTCTTCCCAGAAGGCAAAGTCGCACCATTGGCTGCACCATCAATGATGCTGTGGGGGATGGCAGCAGAGTCCATAGAGTCCACATAGGTGGCATGGACAATTTAGCAGAGGCAAGTGGCCCAGCAAGAGATACAGGTAGACGCAGGCGGCTGATTTGCTGCAAAGCTAAGAGTTGCACCACAGTCTGCCCACTGGTGGGCCCTCTGAGGTTCTGAACTCTTGCTGTGGTGGCAATTGGGTGCACTCATCATTACTGTGAGCATGTCAAGGTTGGTGGACTTGGTGGTTTTGTCATGTTGGTTGTGTTGTTGGCCACATTGCTGGTGGTTTCCCTTTGCGTTTTGCTGCTTGACCATGCTATGCTGGGTGGATCATTTCCTGGGTTGGCACCAGCTGGCGTTGTTGCTTGCAGGCCCACCCTTGCATATTTTTTCATGACAACACAGCAGCCAGTGCTGCAACATTGCCACTGTGCCTGGGCTCTGACATGGAAACTGTGCTGAGTCTGATGTGGATTTAGTGCGCTTTCCCTTCATAACCTCACCCACATGATGGGAAAACTAGAAACCTGTACCTATATCTCGAGTCGGCGGAAGGTAAGGGAATGATGAGAGGGAAACGACCAGGAACAGCGGAGCGGAGGGGAGTGGATGAGGAAAGAACAACGAAGAACAATAAAGAGGGGAGTGGTACTGACCAAAGAAACCAAGGAAACCAACGACAAAAGCGCAACGACTGCAACCAACCAACCAAAATAAAACACGAGCTAAAGAATAAACTGCACAAAAATAAACCGCAACCACTGCCGCGTCTGCGCGCACTCCCACCGTTTCACGACGACTTGGCCAAGAGTTCCGTAAATGTGTCGTTCCACAGCAACACCTGGTCCATGAACCTCGGATCACACTCGTCCTGGCCCATGATATACTCGTTGAGCGTCGTGCGGTACTCCAAGCACTTGTCGCGCAACGCATGGATCCGGTCCTCGGCCGCGGCTGCGGCTGCTGCCGATTGCATCTTGGGCGCTTCGTCACTCACCTCCTCCTCATCCTCGTCATCGTCGGCGTCGTAGTTGGCCGCATCGGCCGACGCGGCCGGGGTCGCTGCCGTGCTCCCGCCCACGTGGAACGCCTGGTCGTCCTTGTCATGGCCCTCCGCGACCAAGTCGGCCGCGGGCGGGGCGACACCGAGGGCCACGGCCATGGAGC